CAAATAATTCAATTCAGAGAAATGATATCAACAGCCATACAATATTTATCATCACGTTCATTAATAATAATCATTGTAAGTAAGGACAACATACAACACTAGCTCACATAGCCCATAAATGCACATGAATAAATGAAAAAAAAATGCACTAACTTTTCCTACAAATAACTGAATTCCACATAAAAATGAAATTGTTTAGCTCAATTACTCACACAAAAGGAAAAACCAATAAGCAACTAAATCAAGGTTGGAAAAAAAAAAGTCTATTTCTGATTCATGGCATTGAAAAGAAATTACAACTGCCAGAATCAATGCAGATTGGGTATAATAGATGGGCTCTGCAGTCCAGGTACCAGCATTGAACTTTAACAGCTACGACTCCGTATTTTGTCTGGAACGTAAATATGCCAATCACCAAACAGCTCTCAGAATTCTAAGCACCAGATATTTCAGTTATAGATATTTAAATACCCACGATGCCTAGGTTCTCCAATATACATATATATTTATATATAAAATTAACTTATACTGTAATAGTATCAAACTGCATAGCTTTACAAAAGAAGGCCACCTGAATGACTGAAGTGAAAAATTTGAATCTGATTATTAACATTCTGGAATTTATAACACCAGAGTAGACTGTTGTTAGTAATAACTATAGCCTGGTTTAATCAAAGTTTGCCTTAATTCCAGAGAATGCAGAAATGATTAATTTGGACAAGTTGTTGCATGCTCTGCTTTCACGTCCTCCTTGCAGGTTTTGCTGTTAGCTGCTTTTCTCTCTCTAGCTCCTTCTCACGTTGCTGTTCTCTTTCCAGTTCTTCTTTCTGCTTCTTTTGTTGTAGTTTAAGTGCTCTTTTCTAAATAGAAAAGGAAAAAAAAAGTCTTACAGTGGAATTTGGAACTAATACAAAATCCTTCCTAACACTCTTAACACTCCTCCCTCTTAACACTCTCCTCTCCAATTCACAGAGGTTACAACTGAATGTTCTGTAAACTACTTCAATGTTCTTCCTCTCTTCTACTTCCATCCTTCTTAAAAACAGAATCTCTAACCTACACGACATAAGGGATGAGTTAGTGAGGTTGAAGGGAAAACAGTTTATATTTTCATGTATCAGATAAGGTGTGTACTGTGCAATGTGTTCTTTTAATTGAACACACTGAAAGACTGATCTTGCCAGAACTAACCAGCAACTGCTTACATAGCATGAAGTCAGTGAACCTGTGCCACTAACAGTACGTTAAACAGAGAAAAGTCTTGCATTTATGACAGTCTAGTCATCATTGTAACAAGCACAGAAACTGAAACAATGAAGAGAACCAGTTGGCATGGAGCAGATTAAGAGACAGAACGAAGTATGATTCTTGTAATGTACTGCTTCACCATGAGGACAACTCAGAGACTCACTAATAAAGATACTTAAGTTGTTTAAACATAGAAAGCAGTAGACAGAAGTTTGAGAACAGGTGGTTAGGTGCTTCTGAAAACATGGAAAAAACATTTATGAATGGTATTTAACAGAGATTCTATTTTCACCAGAGTTTTCAGCATGTATCCAAAATAAAACTTAAGACAATAATACATAACTAAATTGCTATGTTGGAAAGTAAGAAAAATTAATCAACTCACTTTTAACTTAGATGTCTTCTCATGGAGCATCATCATGTCATTTCTGATATTCACTAACTTGCTGTGATAGTGTTTAGCTTCTGTAAACTTCAAAAACACAGCAGTTAAGGCAGTGACTGTCAAGTTGAAAAACCTGAAAAACTTTTCTTTATTTTTAATAACTCTACACATCAGAACAGTAAGTACTAACATAGCATTGCCAGAACAGTTTGGTAATAGATTAAACATGTTCAAGTTCATGTTGAAAACTTACATACTACATAAATACAGAAAACTATCTGAATGTTATACTCTGATGGAAAGCACAGCAGGGTGGCAAAGTCCTAGGCTACAGCAGATGAGGATTAGCCCCAGTGCAGCAGCCATGGAGAAAGTGAGACAGAATGACAGACAGAAAGACACAAACAATGTGCTTACCCTTGGAAGGCCTCAGGCAGGCAGGGATTTCCAACAAGATACCCTCATCTCCACTGCCAAGCCTTAAATGAGGTCTGGGAAGGGGTGGATCCTGGCTGCACCCCTTCCAGTCACTAAGATGCACTACACTGCACTGCATGCACCTGAGCGCCCCTGGGTCGGCCCTGCCTGTCCACCAGGTACTCAATCACCTGGTGACTGGGCCATGACTTAGCATTTCTGCTACGCTATCATATCTCAGTGGGTACATCCAGCCCTTTACTGAATTAAGATTCACCAAAATGGAATAAAAGTATTGCCAATTTATGTACCACATGTGTCTCAAGCACATTTTCTGCTACACTAGACGCGTGCACAGAGCTCACCTTGGAACCTCAGTCCTGCTCAATAAATGCATATGTTTGCTTTGGCTACTGGCTTAGAAAACTAGACTGACTGCTCTTTCTCCCAGTGCCTCCTCTATTTAATGGAAATCTGCTGGTTCTGCATCCTCTCCAGGAGGAATTTGTCCCATGTATTTCAACTCGTTGCTAACCTTCCTGCAAGTTATAAAGAAAAAAAATGAAGTTGCTACTAATACTTCAGCAGGAGAATCCACACTAGTAGGGATTTATAAAAGCATTAATAGTACTTACCAAGGCATTGATGTCAATTATGAAGTTACACTCCTTGAATTTTGTAATTTCTTGTTCTAATGTTTCTAGTAATACCACTTGGTTCTGTCTGAAACAAGAAAAAAATCCATAAAACTAGAGAAAAGCGGCACAGATGAAGGAGTTTAAGGATATATTGCAAAAGTTAGGTATACAGAGCAGATATTTCTCACTCAATGCTTCCCAGCATCAAGTTCTCCTTATGGATTGCTAGCTGATCTCAGCTGATGCAAGTAAATGGTTTTTGAAAAATCCCAACTGAGACACACAAATTCAGTTTTTTGCTGCCTAATATTGAACAGGATGATAAGAAAACCAGGATGACACCTGAAAACCTCCAGCGACAGAGGCACTAGACAAGTTTCAGCAACTAAACACCTCTGTGCAGGAACAGGTTGAATGAAGGGAAAACTACTTCCTCTTGTCTTTCTACTACTTTCTACTTGCCTCTGAGTCATGCTGCAGCACATTATTTCTGCATAGAACCTGTGTGGGTCCACAGTGCTTATCAAGAATCTTCCATCCCACACAGATCAGCTAAATTCCTTCCAGACACAAGCTGCCCTTGGCAGCAGCAAAACCACATTATGCATCGTGAAACTCAAAGCAGTGTACCCCACAGAGCTTAGATGGCTCTGTGTAAAGCCCCCTCCAGTTACTTCATATGGCAGACCCAGCCTACATTTGAAACAAACTATTCTCAATTATCAGTGAGATAACAGTGCATAAAGAATTTATATCTTCTTAGCAATATTTTCAGCTGCACAGTTTACAAACTGTATAGCAACAATATACTGCACTGCAAGCAGCTGTGAACACAAAGGCTACTGCTACAAAGTATGTCTCTTGTTTTCAGCAAACTTTGCATTCTGGAACAAGTATATAAGAAATTTGCCCATCTGCTGTGCCTGGCTTGTGGGAATTTAATGTTCTAGTGCTGGACGCCCCACAGACAAAATTCAACGGACAACACTGCAGCTTGTACACCTCCCAGTACTCTGAGAAGCAGAACTGCTCAAAACGGTACAGTCAGAACGTAGAAATGCTACAACAAACTGACTTCCAGTTAAGCTAGAACATCACATGGAAAAAACAGCATGAATATAAAGGGAGCTGCATTTAAAAACCTGCTTACGTAAGTTCCTGCAGAGCTGATTTGGATCTCTGAAGATCAGGCAAATAGTGAGAAATCAGCCCTTCAGTCAGCTGCTCCACTGCTCTCTCATCTATAACGGGCAGATCTGCTTCGACCCCTTCATCTGGGGAGGCATCACCGGCACCTGCGGGAGAAGAGCAAAGTAAGCGGGGTCGGGCAGCACTGCAGGCCTCCCCGATAGCAGCGGTACGTCCCTGCTTAAAAACAAAGGCATTTCAGCAGCGCACCGCACGGTGCTCCATACCGCTCTTCTTCCCTCCCTCGGCCCTGCCCCGTGAGCTCCGCCGGCGCGGTCACCTCACGGCCGGGCAGTGCCAGAGCGGGAGGCGGCGGACGGGGCGTTCCAACGACGCGCGGCGAGAGCACGGCAAGTAGCGCAGCACACAAACAGGAGCCGTGACACGGCCGCTGCTCTCGAAGCCAGCGCGCACTGCCGCCTGCCCAGCGGTGCTACTCGGCCTTCCGCGCTCGGCCGCCACCCACGTACCCGACGCCCGCCGGCTCCCGGCCGCTTTCTCCTCCTCCTCTGCGCCGCTCATCGCCGGCGCTCCCTCAGGCGCACGGTCCCGGCCGTCCGCGCCAACGCCCTCAGCCGGCCCTCAGCCGGCCCTCGCCGCACAGCCGCGCCCGCCGCTCCGGATGCGGAAGCGACGCGCGGCCCGCGGGGTGGGAGCGCTCCGCCGCCGGGGCTCGGGGCGGCCGTGGGGAGCGGCTGAAGTGCTGCAGAGCTCGGCCTGCACGGAAAGGCCGCTTCCTGCTCCGAGCCGCTGGCTCAGGGGTGACGGGAAACTTCAGGCTTTGTGAGTGAGGGCTGCGCAGCTCGCAGATGGGGCTCAGTAAGAAAAGTGAGATAATCCTTCTGATGTAGCTGTGCTGGAGCCGTAGGCGTTTCGGATTTGTGCTCTGCCTGCTCCGGGCATCCCACGCCCTGCGGGAATAGGCTGGATGGGAACTTAAATTGGGTGCCTGCTTCTCCAGAGCGCTTAAAGCTTGTTTATCGAACCCAGCGCCCCAGAAATGAGGTTGACAGAAGTCTCTCTTTCTCCCTTTCCCATGCTCAGCGATCCTGTGTCGCTCACGCGAGGAGCTCTGTTACAGTGGAAGGGCTGGATGTAGCTGCTCCAGGCGCTGCTGAGTTCGGGACCTGCGAGGTGTTCAGCAAGGATTTCTTCTGACAGAGAAAGGAAAAGGGAGTTAAATGAAACCTGCAGTAAGGACCATAAGCATTTGATTAAGAGGCATGCTCACCTGCTGCTCTGAACATTTAATCTCAAGGAGCTGTGAAAAAGCTTTACTAGCATTGACTCTGTTATCTCAGCTCTTCCTGCAACGTTCTGATCCTTACTGGTAACTTCTTTGGCCAGTTCAAAAAAATAGAGCGTGTGCTTTCCCTCACCACACTGTGTTTTTCCAGGAAGGTTTATTGGTCAGGAACAGAACAGTGACAACATTTGGGCATAGGCTGGCCTTGAGTACGTGTAGGCTGTCAGCTAGACTACCAGCCACGGTAGCAGGTAAATACTGTTTTGTCAGAATTCGTAGAAGCAAAACTCGAATCCCTTTTAAGCCAGAGGACAGCTTAGATGACGCTGGGCCTCGTGTCTTGTTTCTCCCTGCATCCTTAGGCGATGAGGCCCCTGGGGCGCAGCACCAGCCGGCAGCAGTTGAGCAGCGCGCAAGGAGCGGTGCTTCTACGGGGAAGGAGGCTGCACGCTGCTAACTCATGACCGCGGCACCGAACGACCCGGTCCCGGGCATTCAGCGCACGTGACAGCAGCCGCCCGCTTGCCAGCGAATCGCCTGCGGGACGGCGGCGGCGGCGGGGCTCGAACCCGCGTCCCTCGGCCGAGCGGCGCAGGCGCGGTGCCGTGGCGGCGACCGGCGGGCGATGCCGGTGGCCGTTCCCGCCCGTCCCTTCGCCGCCGTCCTCCGCGCGGCTTTCCCGGGCTCGTCGGGTCGAGGCGCGGTACGCGCGGCCGCGATGCCCGGAGCGCGGCGCTGAGCGAGGTGACGCGCATGGCGGTGGCGGCGGCGCTCCCCTTGCGCCGGCGGGGAGGCGGCCCCGCGCCCGGCGCCGCCCGCCCGGCCGCGCCGTGACCGGGCCGTGCCGTGGGAGCCGCTCCGCGCGGGACCGGGCCGCGGCCTGCGGCGCCCGTGGGCGGACGGGCAGGGCGGGCCGCGAGCCTCCGCGTCCCCTGGCGGGCCGCGGTAGGGCCCGGCGGCGCGGGGCGGGGGCCATGCCCTGAGGGACGTGGAGCGCCGCGCCAGCGTCGGCCGCGCCCCTCGGGGTGCCCGCCGCCGCCGCTATGGCCGGGCCCGGCCTGTGGAGCAGCATCAAGTCCGCGCTGCGGCGGAGCGAGCCGCCCCTGTTCCTGAACGACTCCAGTGCCTTCGACTTCTCGGACGAGGCGGGGGACGAGGACTTCCCCCGCTTCAACAAGCTGCGGGTGGTGGTGGCGGACGACGCGGCGGAGGCGGCCCCCGAGGCACCGGCCAACGGGCTGCACCCCGCGCCGCCGTCCGACGACGAGTCCGCGTCCGAGCGGGACATCGCGCTGCGCGGCGGGCCCGAGCCCTGCGGCCGGTGCCGCAGCCGGAGAGAGCTGTGCAAGCTGCGGCGCGTCAAGAAGCGGCTGACGGCCGCCGCCGCCCTCTATCTGCTCTTCATGACGGGGGAGCTCGTAGGTGAGTCGGGTGCTGCTCCGGCCTCGGTTTTACGCTTTTGCGTAAGAAGAGAACCGTTTGCAGCTCGGAGCGATTAGCGATAAGGCCCGGGGGGAGCGGGAGCGAAGTCCAGTCGTGCTTTCCGTGCAAGGAAAGAAAGGAGAACTTGCACCTTCCTTACCTGAAGCTCATAACCTCCCCGGAATGGCACAAAGTGGGCATTTTGTTGGCTCGCAGCTTTGTACTGCTCCTGTTCTGTAAGTTTCTAAGGTCTGATTGTCAAGGGAGGACTGCGTGCTGTCACACGGGTATGCATGAAGGATGGGTAATTTTATCTCCAGTGTTTTTTAATTATTGCCATAAAATCTTGCTGTGTTTGCAAGGACAGCAGGCAAATAGAGTTTCCAAGAGTGACGTTAACATAACGACAAAACCTATGTTGGGATTTATCTCTAGCTGTCACATCCAGTGATGCACTCTGGAAGACAAACTGCCCAACAGTGCAGTGCAGAGTGCTCTCTTGACAACTTCCTGATGTCCCACGGTGCTCTGGACCAGTGTGTGCTCCAACCAGACATAAAACATATGATCCAATTTAGAACAAGCGATGTTTTAACACTTCACAGTGTTAAGTTCCGTGGTTAAATCACGTTCTTTGTGGTTTTTGTTTGTTAGTACTTGGAAAAGATCTGCTGGTTTTACCTAGAAGAGTGAGTCTGGTGCTCAAGTTCAGCTTTTATTACTCTCTCATAAAGGCATGCTGTCATTTGCTATTAAGGTTGAGTAGAACCTGTGCATAATAGAGCAGTCTGTACAAAACACAACTGTATTTAGTGGCTACAGTGACAGGGCTTAACATAAAATTTAAGGTCTGAAGTCCTCCGGATGGTATTAAATGTTATGCCTTTGCCATTATCTACCCATTTTTACGAGGTGTACTATTTATCTTTGATCACTTACCAATGCAGTATCAGTGCCTGTTACCACCTGGTTTTGGATCTGCCCATGATGTTCAGTGCAAGCACTTGAGGCTGCTCAGCCACCTGCAGAATGCTGAAACTCCTTCATTTTGGCTGGTTTGAAGCAGCAGGGAGTGATGCACAGTGCCTGGACGGGATGCACTGCACCATCAGTTATTAGACAGTCTGTTAACTTGTGCCCAATCTTTTTAGCAGCAGACAATGATTGACAACTAATTTCACTCAAATTGCTCACATTTTAACACACAGGTCCAAATAATAGAAAATTTAGTGAATTTAGTGGCCGTAATTCACCAGCCAAAAAGCCAGAAGAAATAAATTTGAAGGAAAGATGCCTCAGGTATTGTACCACAAAATGATACCGTTTGTCCCACATTCATAGAGCAAAATAAAAAGTGGTATGAGAAATGGCCATTTTTTTCAGAAGGAGAGCAGATAACTGACTGCATCTGCACCGCAGTTTTGTTTGGGCCTTGTTTCAGGAATGTGGGTTAAGAGAAAACAGTGGCTTTGTCTCTCAGCACCTCGCTTTCAATGTGCGGTTAATCGTTAGTAACACTGGCACAATGCATCAGCTCATCACAGATCAGCACTCGGCTTCAGGCTTGCAGGGATCTGGTTGAATGCCTTCATTTGCCTCTGGCTCTTTTTTCTCTGGCTGAGATTTTGGCACAGTGTGAACTCAGGTAAATTTGATGAGGGATTAGTGTTAGTGTAGTGTTGCTTCTCAGCTGTGGACATCATTTGTGGTAAGCGTGACTTCATTTAATTGTACTCACATAGCATTCTGATACACACTGAATTTAGTCCATCTGAAGGGCACAATGCTGAGTAATGTTCCTGAGCTGTTGGCAGCTTGATGCTGAAGTCACAGAGTCTGTGTTTTCACACTGTTGTAGATATCTCCATATGTAGTGCCTGGTCAGCTCCAGAAATAATAGGTGTTGAGAGGAAAAATACTCTATCATTGTCACTTTATCCACTGTTTCTCCCTTACAACCAGGACTTCGGCAGTCTCAGGTCAGAGTGACTGATTTCTCCTTATGAAGCATTGCTGCTGTAGTGTGGACTCATCATTCTCAGGTTCCTGTATGCGGTTACCAGCCCTGGTGCAGTATTTGGGCACTGCGGCAGACAGCGCTGAAGCCCAGACCCATAAAATATTCAGGCATCCAATTTCCAGAGAGAACAAGTAGGACTTGGGCATCTGTGCACTTTTGTAGGTCTTGACGTGAATACCTTGTCATATGGCAGGCAATCAGCAGCAGAATAAGTGAAGAAGCAGCGTGCAAGCCCTAAGTCAGCACACTAACTGTTCTGTGTATTTCACTCTGGCCCAGGGTTGAGTCCTGACCCATTTGGTTTGAAATTTTGGCACTTTTTAGACAAACCTATAGCCAAAGTATTTGTGAGACTTTGGCTATGTGGGACATTAACAGACCTCTTCCTGTTATCTTTGCCAGATTTGAATTTCTGCAGGAAGGGCAGAAGAGCCTGTCAGACAATTTGGTAGAAAACTTTCTGCTGTCTGGTACCAATGTCAAGATGAAGGAAATTGTGTTCCAGCAGCTGCTTTGTGAAATCTCAATTGGCATATGTTTTTTTCCAATTACTGCCAAGCTCATGAATCCAGCCCACATCAGTGTTGGTTGCTTAATTTGAAGAACAGTCACTGTAGAAGTCAGATCGCTTTGTGGGAACTGTTTTGCATGAAGAAACAGAAAACAACGCAAATCCAGTCACCTTCCTTGACAGCTTTTTGATGCATTCAGTTATGTTCAGAGATTTCTAATTGATCATTCACAAGGAGGACTGCTGTCCTTCACAGGTTGGTGAAAACAGTGGTGAGCTTTCAAGGCTTCTTCATGAAAGTTGTAGAGGTCTGTTTTCCTGTTTTCTCCCTCTCAAGTTGTTGATTGTGTTTCAGCAGCCCCCGGGCAGCACTTCGCCAAGCAATGAACCTATGTAGTGGGAAACAGAGGGCCTTCAAATTCAGAATTTCATTCATCTCAATGATACTTTCTCGATCACGTGCTCCAGTAAGACGACTTTTAATATCTGAATTCTCTGTTTATGTAGTCTCTGGAGAGACTAGCTGAAATGGAGTTGGCTTACCTTGGGCTGAAGCACTTCTCAATTTCATACTCATGGATTAACATATGTACTGTAAATGATCATATGCAGAAAGCATTGAAGTGAATGTCCTTAGACGTAATTGTTTTATTCTGTGCTGACAATAGAACAGGCTGAGTTGCACATTCCTAGGACATATCTTCTGAAATTATGTGAGAAAGCAAATTATCTTTGAGCTGTGATGGCCTGTGCAGAGTTTCAACCTCTAAGTTTCACTCTGAGACTTAGAGACATCTTAATAAAGGGGTTGGAGGACAGGAACAGGTGGAACAGAGGTAGGTGCAGTCAGTAGTTACAGGCAGAACGAGGAACCCCCACAGTGTCAGCCTTGCTATTTGTGTGGCTGGGAAGAAGGCGTAGCTTTGCAGGTGGGCACTCCCAGATAGATGGCTGCACACATGTTTTTCACTGATCTTGAAAGCAGTCAGCCTGCTGTGAATTTCCCTTCGCTCTCCTCGTGGTCAGCCTCTTCACTAAGAGGCTTTTAATTGTGTACAAAGATACCTTTACTCGAGATATGTTGGCTGGAGCCTGATGCCTGCCAAGTGGCACGCCAGCTGCATGCTCTGCTTGCTAGAATCTCCAGTTTGAATGATCTCAAAGTAAAATGAGAAATGAAGTAATAGTTGAGCTGATGCTGGAGATGTGGTCTTTTCTGAGAAAATGGGGATATCTTCATGCAGATGGAAGATGACACTGCCTGTCCTTGACTCCCCATTTGGATGAAGGCTGCCTGCCGAAAGAGAGGTGCTTTGTTAAATCTCTCAGCCATCTATCTGCTGTTGCATTCAGCAGTGGAATCGGAACAAAGATATTGACCTTCGATCTGATGTTGTTTGTCTCCATACAGTTCATAATCATGAAAAAAATATGGTAATAAATAAGAAAGGAAAATGGTGTGAAAGTTATTGTTGGCAATATACAGTAGCAGAATTTATACACCTCTGCCAGGATATGGAATGGTGAAGGTTAAAAGATAATGCAGTAAAAATAAGAAGAGGGAGGGGTTAATTACTGCCAGCAAGTTACTGGATTTCTGTCCTTGATCCATTATGTGAAAATATTTAACAATTGTAGTTCAAATAAAAAGCATCAGCCAATATATGCAATAACATACACAGAAGAGATACTAAATTAGTTTGCAAATGTTATCAAGCAAGAAGTCTCAGTGAGACTAACAGGACTAACTCCTTTCTGTGCAGCTCTCATGGAAAGCACGCTTCACTGCATTTCTAACTATGGTAGCTTTAAATTATAGCGTGGCATGTTGATCATAATGGCAAAAGAATGGTCCTGCTCAGTGATAAGTGGTACTTCATGCACTTAGTGCACTGTTCTGAAAATAAGTAACTGAAAGTTGTGCCATGAGGACAGGATCCAGAATCACTTACCTGTCTTGACTGTTCCAACTTTGTTTTCAGGTGGATATGTTGCTAACAGTCTAGCAATTATGACAGATGCACTGCACATGTTAACTGACCTTAGTGGTATTATTTTGACCCTACTTGCTCTCTGGCTGTCTGCAAAGTCTCCTACAAAGAGGTTCACTTTCGGATTTCATCGCCTAGGTATGTAGATATCAGCTTTTGCTAGTATTTTAAGCAATAATGCTAAAAATATGTAATTCTAGAAGAAGAGGCAACTGGAAAGAAATCAGTAACAAACCTAAAAGTAACTTTAGGTTTAACAGTCTGTTGTGTATCCACTGCGTGGGATGTATTGCCACAGGGGAATAAATCATTTGATCAGAACAGTACAACTGCTACATCTGGAAACAAAGTCCTATGAAACGTGATTAACAAATAATCCTGAGCAAACTCCCAGAAGTAAAAAGTTCTATAGAGTTCAGGATCAGATAGCTCTGCAAGAAGTCTCATAAATCACTATTCTTCTTGCACAAAGAAGAAATCAAGATGTCCCTTCACGTCCAGTACAAAAAGTTACTTAACTTGTGCCCATTTTGGGTACTTGTAGAAAGAAACATCAGCAGAAATATGTTGGAAGGGTAATTTCAGACTCATTACTTCACATTTGGAAATGTAATGATGATAAAGGGTGCTTTCACGTGGTTGCCATTTGTACTGGATATTAATTACTTAATATACAATATACAGGTGAAGGTCTTGACTTGTAGGCATTTTCTCAAAAGTTTGAATGTATGCTGCATGAAATAGATCATTTTGGATGTTATGGCTTACTACCTCTATGCTTTCTATATGATATTTTTTCAAGGAATTTCAAACTCTTATGCTGCCATTACTGTTAATTCTTATGATGGCTGCCAGAACAGCAGTAGAATTCAACAGCTCCATCACTCCTAGTCATTTGTCATCAGTTAGTCACTAATGCATGAATGCATAACTGTACAGCAGCAAAGATCTTTGGGCTTTAGCAAGAAAGCATTAACAGTGCCAGCATTTCCCATTACAAACTTTTCTTTCAAGAAGTTTTAATTTCGTGATGAGAGTTCCCTGTAATACTGAAACCTGATCTTGCAGGTATGCTCTGGCATTTGTTCATGCTTTCCACAAGGATGTTTGCTAGCATGTAGACATGCCTTAACCTCATTTAAAAACAGCTTGAGCAGTTTATGTATTTGTAACTCTTCAAAAACCAAATAGTACAAAGGAAGAACATGACATAGCCCTATAACAGAAATGGTTCTTAAGGAAAAAAAAATAAAGTTTTATATATTACTCAGTTTTATAAATTTTCACTTACTAATTCAGGATCTCCATAGCGCTCTGCAAACAGGAATCCCTTTGTATCTCTGCCACCTCACTTTAAAAACCAGCAAAAAAAATCCCCAACTTTTTTCTTCATTTTATTGCCAAAGAAAGTACTGGCCAGATTGATCCAGTGGTGGCCCGTATCTATATCACCCATCATTTTCTCCCTGGAGAACAGAGGACTTCTCACTCCTGCAGCAATTCCTCCTTTTTGTGCTGCCCAGTGACAGGAGGTTGCCAAGCACCAGCCGAGGTTGCCCAGACCGGTCACGGAGTCTCCCTTGCTGGAAATGCTCCCAGCCCAACGTCCTGGAGCAGCCTGCTATCATTGGTCCTGCTTTGGGCAGGGCACTCGACTAGAGCAGAGGCCCCTTTCTACTCATCCACCCTGTGTTAGCAGCGACAGCACAGGGATCTGTGTAGGAAGAAAAGGACTAGAGCCTGTGAGAGTGGGAAGAGAGCTTCTGTGGCTGCAGTGAGGAAGGAGAGGTTGATAAGGATTCTGCAAGAAACCCTCAAAACGTTGATCTGGCCCTGTGAATGCTGATGATGGGATGGTCGAAAAATGACGGTACACAGGTGGTTTTTTGAGAAGCTTATTTGCCTGATTTTAGGCACCCTTTCTGAGTGGCCTGAGTGCACAGTTTCACACATCAGTGAACACTGCCAATAGAACAGTGCTGAGTCTGGGCTACGTGTTTGCTGTAATACATTTTTCCAAATATCATGTGCTGTAAGAAGCTTGTCAGCAAAATGCGAGTTCATCAATAGCCTGAATTTCATGAGATGTTAAAACATGACAGAATGTTAAAAATAGGGTACAGGTAGAGCATCTGTCGCAGAAAAAAAACATGCATCTGCTTAAAGCTGGGAGTATGCACTAGAATTGCCTCATAACCAGTCTGCTTTGCATTGCATTTTAAGGTAATCTGTACATGCACTAAGCACTAAAATGTGCCAGTAAATAGTTTCCAGTGCTCCTTTTCACTTTTGTTTGCAGAACCATGAATTGTCACGCTAGTACCCATAAATGCTGCTTTGTAAAGACAGCAGGCCTATCAGTTGCCTGCTCAAATTCCAGCAGAAAGCACTGCTTTTTATCTTTCTGAATATATAATATGTATGCTCCATCTTTAGTTTCTTCCATTTTGTATGGTGAAAGGGAAGCTGACATCCAGGAATGAGCTAGAGAAGATAAAAAAAATGAAAATTGCAGTCTTATCTGAAAAGAATTATATTCTTTAAGCCAAAAATAGCTCTGTTTCACTGAGTGGAGATACCTCCTTCTCAGAAAGACACTGAGCAGATCTAAACACAGATATGGAACTTGGCATCCTTCCACTGCTGCAGAGACAGCGTCAGTAATGACAGATCCATCAGACCATTGATACAGTGCATGCTTCATTTCACAAGTGAAAGATCTTAGGACAAATCTATAATGTCAACATGATAATGACTCTGTGAAAGCTACTGCAAAGAACACACTGGTTTCCACTGCAGAAAGTCTGCTTTTAGGTTGTAAAACTGCAGTATGTAAAACTACAGTATGTTATTTCTCTGGTAAAGACCAGCATACTGCAGTTTAACAAATTCAACCAACAAGAAGAAGTGTTCTGAAAACTGAAGAAATGCCTTAAAATACATTAAAAAAAATGGCTGTTGTCCTGAATAATCTGCCTGCTTTGTAAGGAAAGCTTCCACTTGTGTGGATGTTTTCATTCAGTCTATGGATCAAATCATTCTGATGCTGTGAAATGCATGGTCAGTATTGTAATAACGCCTTCATTCGATGAATAAAGTTCTTCAATCAATATTCTTTCTGCTATGGGCTGACTAATAGCTGATTCCTGGGGAATGTATCAGGCAAAATGTGTGGGACCAGAGGGGAGAACAACAGTTAGAATTCAATGCAAATAAATTCCAACCCTGATCTTCAAATTCACAAAGGAAGGTTAAGATCCCAGTGATCCATCTGATAAGTGACAGTGAGCACAAAAGGATGTGTCGTCTTTAGATCTAGCTTAACACTGTGGTTCTGTGATTATTATTTGTGAATGTTACTTATGGTTTACTGGCTGTTTATTCATATTGTTGGGCACACGAAGGTCTGTCCATAGTACAAATAGGAAATAGAAGTAGACCTGAGGCTCACTTTTATGATGTTCTTTCCTTTCTGTTTGCAGAAGTATTGTCAGCCATCATTAGTGTGTTGCTGGTCTATATCCTTATGGCATTCCTGTTGTATGAAGCAGTTCAAAGAACCATCCATATGGACTATGAAATAAATGGCGATATCATGCTGATCACAGCAGCTGTTGGTGTTGCAGTTAACTTAATGTAAGATCTCCCTTTCTCTTGACACTCAAATATATTTTGAATAAGCTGTTAATTCATTAATGGCCTGTAACTTTCTCATGGGATGTCATTTTGCTGGACCTCTTCCTCATAAAATAAGACAGGAAATTATACCTCTTTTTTTGTTCTGTTCTGAATTAAAGAAATTAAACAAAAAAAATCACAAAAAAACCCACCCACTCAACTCTCAAGCCCGTTTCTTGGAGCATTTTTCTTTTTCCAATTTCAGAATGGGTTTTTTGCTGAATCAATCTGGACACCTTCATTCCCACTCCCATTCCCACCCTCACTCCCACGTACCTCAGTCAAACTCTCCTAGCACAGCCCGCAGCAGCGGCCACGGACACAGCAGCCTTGCAGTGAGAGCAGCATTTGTACACGCCCTCGGGGACCTGGTACAAAGCATTGGTGTGCTTGTAGCTGCGTACATCATACGCTTCAAGGTAAGGAATGGCTGATTTTGAGGCAAGGTGTGATTTTTGTTTCAACTGTAGTTATTACATCAAAATGGACTTATTTTTCTAAGCGATTAAAATGATACACTATGTTCTATTATAAGCTTCATATAGTCATGCAAAATAAGCAGAGGCTGTTATGTGTTATGTTATTATTCAAACAAAGAAATACAGAAGTTTTAGCTCTAAGTAACTATTTCTGATTTACGTTTATAAATAAACTTACTTTCATGCATCTTTTTAACACTCTGGACCTTCCTTTCCAGCCAGAATACAAGATTGCTGATCCTATTTGTACATATGTGTTTTCCATACTGGTAGTTTTCACAACAGTCCGAATTCTGTGTGATACAGGAGTTATAATTTTGGAAGGTAAGATCCTTACAGCATGCAGCGTTTCATGTGTTTCAAGGCCAGGCTGGATGTGGCTCTGGGCAGCCTGGTCTGGTGGTTGGCACCACTGCACATAGCAAGGGGTTGAAACTAGATGATCATTGTGGTCCTTTTCAACCCAGGCCATTCTGTGATTCTATATGTCAAGTGAAGCACTGGCACTTGGATGTCACAACCACCATCTCCAGCAACATGGGCTGTGTCTGGAATTTGTTGATCTTGCTTTAGGATTTCAGTTCTTTTTTTCAGTTCTTCAGTTCAACTCATCTAAGTTGCAGCAGTCTTCAAGAGTCTTTGACCTTTACCAGAATGACACAGGTCTTAGCACTGCTCACAGTTTACCATCACGAGACAGTGGAAGTAGAATTTATAAAACTTTCAGCTAAAATAAGTAAATGTCTGCCCAGTCTCAGCTACACAGTTTGTGTAATTACTTGTAAAGTTAATGTGAACACATGTAAAAGGAGGAGACAGATTCATAGTATTGCGTGCACGTCAGATAAGACTGGAAATAAAAACCAATATGAAAAGGAAAGAGGCGAAGAAAAAAAGCAGCAGAACATACATAAGTTTGACTTTTGACCTCTGGTGGTGACTTGAAGGGAAGAATGCCAGCAACATTCTTTGCATTCTTGTAACTAACCTGCCCATGTTACTGCTTAATCCAGTACTTTCATGTAGGGATGAGGGAAAAAAAAAAAAAAAATCTTGTTTTTACCTGCACCATCCCATCTGTTTCATATGAATTTATTGCCGACTTCTGCAATCAAAAAAAAAAAATCTCAAAATCTTCAATGCCAAATTCTTGTGTCATTTAGGAAAAGAAAAAAAATGGATTGTCACCGTGAAGGCGAAAAATAGTAAAATACACTTAAATCTCATTTAGTTCCAAGGCAACAGCTGAGATTTAGCTGAATAGATAAAGCACACCAATGGGGTATTGAATTCCAGATGTCTGAGTTGTACCTGTTTGCATCCCAGCTGTTATAGAGATGTCTGAATTAACGATGTTATTACAGTGATGAAAGGTGGTCTTAGTGTATGTTACAGAGCTTTTCCAGCTAGTCCTCAGGAGCTCCAGAGAATGGGCTTGCAAGAAATACATATATAAAACAATCAATGTTTTGAAAGTTGTCAGTGACTTTTTTTTTTTTGCAGAGGACAGTTAACTTTATCTTACGTTTGGTATCACAGGAGTCCCGAGGCATTTAGATGTGGATCGTATTAAAGAAGACTTGATGAAAATTGAAGATGTTTATTCTATAGAAGATTTAAATGTTTGGTCTCTCACTGCAGGAAAAACAACTGCCATAGTCCACTTGCAATTAGGTAAGCTGCTGTATGGCAATTTTAGTCCAGCCAGGGGTGGGGCAGATGACAAAACTCAAACCTCTTTATCTCTTGTCCTTATGTTTTTACGTACTCACATCCAGGAAATGGCATTCTGGGAAAAAAAAATAATCTATCGTTTATGATTTCGTACAGTGAGATATAGAAACCATTAACCCACAAGGACAAAGTGTAAATGGAAGTTAGGCAAAGAAAGAAAATACATTTATGCTGAGGCATATTGATCCAGTAGAGAATTTTTTTTTCCCCCTATTTGATGGGGTTAAGTACTTCTCTTCAGAAATTCCCTAATGCAAGGATCTGATTCTTGGAAAGTTGAACATGTTGCCAAAACATGTTGTTAGATATTGATATCTAACACAATATCAAGCATATCAGTTCTTAGAAAGAAAGCTTTCTGCATACCCCTATTTAACAGAGACAGTTTTACCTAGATACGGTTCCAGATAAAAGATAAAGATGTGTACATATTGTATCACAGCCACAGAATGATAGAAAATTGGTAAGGGAGTTTGAATAAAGACATCTGAGTTGGTAAGACCATGTGGTAAATATGAAGACAGTTTAATTGTCCATTTTTTAAAGGGTTGAATATTACAAGAATTATGAAATCTTTCCCTGGTTTTTCCAGTTCCTGGTAGCTCATCTAAATGGGAGGAAGTTCAGTTCAAGGCCAGACAACTGCTGTTGAACACATTTGGAATGTACAAGTGTTCTGTCCAGCTTCAGAGTTACAAACAGGAAACAAGCAAAACCTGCACAAGTTGTCAGAGTTCCAGTGCCTAATCTCACGTGTTTTGGGAACTGCTGCCTTATTCTTTATCTTGTAGTCAAAGACTGAGAGCAATAAATTCAAAGTGAATGATAATAATTAACATGTGGATTTGTACCATTTAACATGCAGCAGGGAGAACTGGTGCTGCAAGAAGTGCAGTGGTTGCCCTACAGAAGATATATTTCATTCTCTCCCTCGTGCCGGTTTATTAAATTTATTATGGTTTGGAGACAAAGTTGTTTTCAGATTGTTTACAAACTGCAACGTGGTTCTGCAGATACCTCACAAATCACAGTTAGAAATTGTCTTTTGTGTACCACAGAAGTACCTGCACTCCAAAAGGAGCATCGACTATTCAGTATTTCAATTAACATCTGTAATATTATTGATCATGCCAGGGTTCCATACATTATGATCTTCAAATTCAGACAGTATTTTTACAATAGTAATTTTCATACAGTATTTTAAATTACAATGCATGCAGTGCTACCTGAATTCTTTTCTAAACTGTCTTGTTGGAGACTTGCAAAACCCAGGATTTACCATAACCAGACCAGAAACTTAGCTTTAATCTGGATGTTCAGAGATGCAAACAGGAAGATCCTTGCCCAAACTTCTGGTGTTTAACTGGAGACCCAGCACTGGACCCGAAGTGTTCTCGCTTCGGTTATCTGTAATGTATTTTAGAATAGGGTTTATACTTTAGAAGGAGGTTATTTATTTTACAAATTTTTGAGTTGTAAGATTAAAATTTGTTAATAATTTTGAATGTCTGAACCAGCATTTAATTCACATTAGAAGGCCAGTTAATAAGCATGCATTCTAATTATAATTAATACATGTGCTGTAACTGAACATTTTCCATGATTGCTTTATTGAAAAAAATAAAAGGATAGGAACTGTGCTTGACACAAAGGTACTCTCAAATCCAACCTACAGATGTGCAAAATACTTAAATGTACTAAAAGGCAAGGGGAGAGCAGAAGTTTCAGATGTGGTGTTCCCTCACTCTTGGATCTCTGACCTGTTCGTCTTTGCTGTGAGAGCAGGATGGCAATATTCTCACAGGACAGCCAGTACAACAGCACTGCTGAACTCTGTGAATAAGATGAAACCCAAGCAAGCTCAGTGACCTCATGCACACTGGACAATGCTATCACAGCAACCTACAGAGGCAGAAAGGTATTTCTTATTTACTGAGAATCAAAGCAATTTGAGAAGACTTCTTTCATCCTGACACTTCAGAGTCCGCGAAACTGAATTGCTTTGCCTCATAGCCCCTGTACTTTGAATGTATGCAGGATAATAAAACACAAACCTTCTACCTGCTGCCAATCTGCCATACATCCAGGCTCATTTTTTATGCCTGTTGCTGACATTACTGGCATTGAAGCCAACGGCAACAAGAATGACCTGCAGCGTTCAATAGACAGACAGAACTTCGCTCTTAGTATTTTTTGCTTATTCTGCACTTGGGTCTTCGCGCAAAACTTCAGCTGACATCAAAAGTCTTTCTGTATGTGGAACAGAAAGGAGTTTTGGACCAGTAACAGATATAGTGATACTCAGCTGTGAATACTTAAGCTATTGTCTTGAAACTTGATAGGGTTTCACATATTCATCAGGGTGATTTATACCTACAATTGGCAGCAACTTGGCTTGTTTTCTCTTTTGAATAAGACAGGGACCTCTTGATGAATTTGCAGAGGTGAAAACTCACAACACAGTATTAATAACACCAGACTATGTTTGTATTTGTTCTGGCAAGAAATGGGGACACTTGAGTACAGCATGGGAGTATGTACAACTCAGGCACAGAGGAACACTGTACTTGGAAAGTTAATGCTTCAATACAAACATTACCACTGATTAAGCCATATCAGAGTTAATGAAAAACGTGCATCCCATTCTTAGAAATTCCCTAAAAACAAGCAAAAAAAACTCCCACCACAACAGGTATTTTGCACATACTAATTCTCAACAGGTTTTAATTAACTTGGGATTTAAAGTTGATGTAATTAGAAGTTGAAGTATGGTAGACATGTAATGTATTTGGAGTTTTTTTTATTGTAATGATTTACTATACTTTTGTTTAATTGAAGAAAAAGCAGAAATGTGTTGCTTTATTGTGGGTTTTATTAAATCAATTATTAAACTTCACATTCTGTCTTATGAAATATTTATTTGCATTGAGATCTTGTGCCTTTTTCTTTGATTCTTACAGCAATTCTTTTTCACAGTGCCTATAAACGCTCAAGCTTAACTCCGCTTGGTAACACTGCTTAGAATGAGCTATGGCTCCCTCTTCAGTAGAAAAGCTTCAGTTTTCTTGTTTCTCATGCAGTAACAGAACTTCAGAAAATATGAGCTGACAAATTATGGTGAAGGAGCAGTTATACAGCAACCAGCAAGGCATTCCTGAGGCCCTTGGGTCACACCTGAAGGGCCATTGTTATCACAGCCTGCAGACTAACTGGAAGGACTTCAGAAAAAAAGCAGCAATATGAAATCTGAATCTAGGAGACAGAAATCAATGTGGTTGTTGGGGGGCATCCTGATAATGGAGATTGCCTATTTTAAGGCTTAACTAAGCTCATATGGATCGTTACATCTGTGTGGGCCACCTCTAATTTGTTTTCTTGGTCAAAAGGGCAAAAGTTGTCTGGGATTGCTGCATTTCACATAAGAACCCAATACTGAATTCGTTACTAATCAGCATCAAAAGGAATACATTTAATTTGCAATTCCCCTAGTAATGGAAGGGCACAAAACAGAACTATAAATCTAACCACGTAAGAGCAATTAGTACACATGTGGAACAGAAAAGAGTACAGAGCTGCTGGGAATGTATGGTTAAATATGCATTAACATCTGTGCTCTAGGAAGTGTGAGGTGTCGATAAAAGAAGTCAAGTTATCTTTATAGATATTGAAGGGTCATTGAGTACCACCTTGGAGAAGCATAGCATTATTGGGAATAAGAATCAAGTCTGGTGCCTTTCCAGCCAGCTCTGCAGCACATCCTGTTTATCTCCTCCGACCATCACAAGATCATTTACGTTTTTCTGTATTTCTCTATCTCCACAGGAAACCCTTCTATAGAAAATAAGAACTTGTTTACTTTTTATGATTAGTCTACCCAATAGATGCCTAAGATCAGAGGCTTCCACAGTGAGCCTCTCTGCTTTCCAGAGTTATGCCAGATTGCTATGGGAGGACAAACTGCTAAAAACCTGTGAGAATTCTGCCACCTATTGCAATCAATGTAGAAGAAATTCCTGATTTTCACATATCCTATCTTGAACCACAGATGCAGCTTTAATGACAACTGTAACATGATAGAAAGCACAGCAATGACAGCAGAGCAGCAAGGTCCTAGTTTGCAGCAAGTGAGGATTTGCTCCAATGCAACAGCCACAGAAAATAAAGGAAAAAAAAAATCTGCTTACCTCCAGAAAGCATCAGGTAGATAAGAAGCTCCAGCAAGATCCCCTTGCCTCCACTGCCAGCCCTTAAATGAGGTCTGGGAGGGGGTGGATCCTGACTGCATCCCTTCCAGTCACTCAGATGCATTGCATTGCATTGCATGCACCTGAGCTCCCCTGGGTTGGCTTCCCACCAGATGCTCAATCACTGGTTCAAGCTGCTCTCCAACTACTTGTGAAAGCCAAGAAGCAAGCTGCAAGCCCTCACATCACACTGTTATATCCTGAACTATTCTTGCCCTAAAAAGAAAATTAACAGAAACTCATTTGCTTTCTTTGCTTAATCCTGATTTTCTTTTCTAAATTGTGTTGGCATTTAAACCTTTCAATACTGACCACATTGCCTTCTATACCAGCAGAATTACTACATGCATTGTCGTACCTGAACCTGGTCTTCAAAATCCAAAATGGTATTGTCAAGATCTCTTTTCTCCCTGGTTGCTCCAAGCACATGCTGTTGTCCCAGGTTAGCACGCCTAGCTCAAGCTTATGTTACGCTGCCTCTAAGTTACTTCGCTTTTCTCACTCCATTTTCTTGCAATACTCTGCTGTTTCCACAGCTTCACTAATGTCCAGTCAGCACCCTCTGTATGCGCAGCTTGTGTGGTGTGAGGTTTATGGGTGCAAAACATCCAAAAACACTGCAAGCCCTCCTTTCTCCCATTCTGTTCAAG